ACACACACACACACACACACACACACACACACACACACACACACACACACACACACCACACACACACACACACACACACACACACACACACACACACACACACACACACACACACAGAAAGCCACACACACACACACACACACACAGAAAGCCACACACACACACACACACACACACACACACACAGAAAGCCACACACACTCATGCTGGAGTTTGATAAATGTGCTGCTGATCAAAGCTATGAATTACATGCCAAAAAAGCTTAATTGTGTACAGTCAGATATCTGAGAGGACTACTCTATAGTAGAAAAGTCATCTTATCAAGGGTATCTTATTTTGTATGAAGGGTTTTGTTTTGTACAATAGGTGAGAAAGAAACAACCTCTGAGCAACAGTTCAATATGAATAGAATAAATGACATAATGAAAATGAAAGGTTGCCATGAAAATGTATCCAGATTAGAATAGAAACAGCTTGCTTTAGTGTTGGGTGCAAAATGATGCTCCTAACAAGCTGGAATTAAAAGAAAATTAAAATCTATTCTTCAAATATCATTATAGAAGAAGGTAAGTGTAGGATTAGCAGTAGTGTAACTATACATGGTGTTCAATCAAATGCAATGCAAATAAATAAAAAAGAATTACAAATAAATAAAAAAATAAATAAAAATTGAATGAAATAAAAACAAACAAAATTAAAAATCGAACTGGAAAGTAAAAACACTGGAACAGAAAGCAGGTACAATTGGCTGAATGGGTGGAAGGAGCTTAAGGCAAGATTAAATTAGGGTGTTTAACTTTCCTCTATCCAACTACTAAGTAAACCCCAGAGGCAACAACAACAGAAATTGAAAAAATATTGAGTTTAACTTTCAAATAATAAAAAAGGTAATTTACGCTTTTCTCTGGGAAGATAACCTTAAAAACCTCCACTGGCTCAGGATAAAGCGATCTCTCTAAACACTTAAGTAAATCCTCTTTTACTCTGTGATCCATTAGCACCCCCCCCCCCATTGTTGTTTTATTTGCTGTTATAATAGTTAATGCTTTTAATGTCCATGTGAAAGGCCTTTCAGTAGCCTCTAAAGCACTATACAATTAAAAGGTTTATTATTATTATTATTATCACTCATTAATCCTCAAGTGCCTTTTACTAACCTGCATTGACAAGGTAAAAAATGTTTCCATGGTAACTTAGGTCAGACATGTTGAAACCCAGTTATGAAACAGTCCTTCCTGAAGCTAAATTAGTGAGAAATATTAATTACTGATTATATTGTAATGTTAGTAAATGTAAACACCTCTCTGTGTAAATAAGAGACAGAGCGACAGGTTGGGTTTAAAGTGTAATTGAATGTCGTTATTTCAAAAGGTTTCTAATTACTCGGAGTTAGGACTCAATACTGTTTATAAAACACCTGCTAAAGAATAACGAAATCCCTGAAAAAGATTGAGGAATTAAAGATTGATCTAGTTTCAAAGGTCATGTTTTTTCTCCTTTGTTTGAGTGTTAAAAAAAGGTGAAACAAATAAGGATATTGTTTCCAACTTCATTATTTTTTGGGGTGTGAAAATAATTTTTTTTTTTTTAAAGGGATCATGCAAAATGCACTTTTTTATGTTCTTTATACATCAACATGTGTCCCCGGTGTGTCGGGGAACTCACGCAGCGTCAGAAAATAAAACCCTCTCTCTTTTCCTCCGTACCCAAATCTCTAAAAACGGGGAACAACGGAGCTGATCCAGATTTGCGTCCGATATGACGTAATATCTGAAATGTGGACCCACGGCCCAATCAGAAACGTTGCTATCAGAAACAATGCCCGACTGTTTTAGACGTAATATGGTCCGTGTTTACATTAGCATCGCTAACACTCAGAGCTAACCTGTACTGGAGAGCATGTGTGTGAAGAAGCAGGAAGTAAAAAGGAACTCACCTTGTGGTATAACCGGCAAGAGAGAAAGCCTTTGAGCTCCAAACTGTTTCAGAGAGAATCCTTGATAATCCATGATATGGCGTTTTATCACGGCAGCATTTAGTTTAGACGGTAGCTGCCGGGTCCCGCATGAGCTCAGACCCCTCCTTCTTTATTTTTATAAATTGTTTAAAGCTTTATACCCAGAATCAGCACTTTTGAAACAGGAAGTGAAATAGAGGGATATGAGGCATGGCTAGAATGGGTGATCTGTTTGGTATTTTGAGCAAAACACTTCATAGACATGTTTTTTATATATTTGTATATATCTGAGACCTATGCTATTGCCTACAAATAGCATGATAGGTGACCTTCAAATATTTTTTATAAATATCTGTAAAATAAAAAAAAAGTTTTTTGTTCATTTTGGCTAGAGTGCTTGAAGCCAGGCTTTTCTTTCTAACTACATCATTATTTTTCAGAAAATGAAACAGTTGGGGAAAAAAGTTTCTTTGAGTTTTTGTGTGTGTTTGTAAAACTGATAATTCAACTTTGCACTTTGAACACACACAACACATTTTAATCGCTGCCTCTCAAGGCCTCTGTAAAGAATATTGAACACAATACAAAAGACACAGGAACACACTGCCATCATTATATAAAATCAAGATTTATTATAAAAAATACAACCAATTATGTCACAGTCATGGTGTCCTGTTCGCTCGTTCCCTGATTCACGGAGCAGAGGAGCTCCATGTTACACACAGAAAAGATAAAGAACACAGTGATGGAGTCCTGTTACTCTGCGGATATAAAAATAGATAAAGACTTCAGGTTCCTCCTCTGACAGGAAATTAAGGAGATGGACTGAGTCGACGCATCGCACTCATTATACAGAACAGTCCTCCCAGAACCCCCCTTCACCTCCCCCCTAAATTCCACCTCCATCACATTTTGACTTTTCGAAAAAGAGACAGAACCGTCAGTGTGAAATGAGGTCACTGATGGAAAATCACCTACAGACCACACACACACACAATTTAGGGGAGTTGTCATAGCAACTCTTTAGCAACACAACCATTTGTGTGCATGCAGGAGCGTACAGTGTGTGTGTGTGGATAGTGTAATCCAGTAGAGTCAGGGCTCAGAGAGAAAGTCATTTTCGTGCAGAATCGTCACTTTAAAGACGGAGTGAGAGCTTCTATAATCAGACTGTGAGAGAAACTCAGCGATAACTGAACATATCAAAAATTCATCAACAATGTGTCGTTGCTTTTACCCGTTTTCTGTTGCAAACGTTTCTTTATCAAACAGACACTGAATTCCTTAGTATTATAGCTTTAAGTAAAAAAGAATATAGTCATTTTTGTTCTAATTGATAAGGATTAAGAAAACAAATGATACAATAATCCTCTAATCAAGCAAGCATACAGTATATTGAGAGAGTAACTAAAGCACATGTTTGACTCTTAACATCGTACCACGTTATACATAACACATTATGGTATGTGATTAGTTTGAAAAAGTTGAAACTGCTGCGTCTGCTGCATTTATAGGATCATTAAAAGGAAAGTTCAACCTTTAAATACTGATATAAGATTAGACTGAAGCTAAAAGGTATCCTTCATTTCCACCTGTGTGATCTATTTTTATATACATTATGATTTCCTACGTTTCCCATGATGCCTTTCAACAGACTTTAAACATTACTGAAGTGAATTTAACCAAGTCTTCCTTACTCTTTCCTCATATTCCTCCTTTCCTTTTTTGAAGGGAATCCACCTCTAGGAGTTGTTGGAGTAGAATATCTTGGATGTAAAGCTACACGGACAACAGCTGACTTCAGTTTAATAAAACATTCAATGTTCTTTTGAGTTTCTTTTGAGTCTCTTTTGAGTCGGCAAAGGCAGAGACGAAAGCAATGATTCTGCCACTAGAGAGAAAACATACATTTAAGTACATTTTAAGTATAATTCTCTACATTTGAACAGCCTGTGGTTGGCATCAATTAGGCGCGTTCACACCGCAGTACTTTTCCCACTTTAGTTCCGATATAGTTCCAAAATGTTGCGTTCACACCAAAAAGATCCGGAGCTCAAATGAGTTCATGAGAACCTTTTTACCCCCTTTTCAGTCCCTGCTAGAGAGCAGGTATTTTTGTGGGAGAAAAAGGTTCCTATGTCTGATTGGCTGGGCGGATTGCAAACCACGCCCCGTAAAACTCCCAAAAAGTTTTGTGAAGCCGCCATTTTATTATCCTCTTATTAGCATTAGCCCAGCGCAGAAACGCAGAGAGACTAACTTATGGCAACACAAAAGAAAACATGGAGATGATGATGGTGGAGATGAGGAGGTGTCGGCGTTCTGGCGATTTACTCGGAAGGCTTCAGTAGAAGCTGCTGGGACTCCCAGCAGCTTCTACTGAAGCCAGTCCCCGACTCCGGGGACTTCCGGCCGGGGACTCCGGGTGGCAGTATACGCCGTGAAGTGGTTTGCGGCCTGCCAGTAAACCCAAAGCAGAAGAAGAAGAAGTGACATCAGCGGCTTCATTTGCCTAATCCTCCCCCAGGGACTTATTCCGGTGTGAACGCAATCTGTACTTAGTTCATGAGAACTAAAGAGTTCTCATGAACTAAGTCCTGATTAACCTTTGTGGGAAAAGTACTGCGGTGTGAAAGCACCTATTGAATAATTGTTGGTTTTAAAATGGACATTTTTGTAATTGTTTAACCTTATCTTTCCATGTGTTTGTATGCAACAGTCAATGTATGTCCATAACAATTATTAATCGGTACTTTGGGTAAACAAATGGCAGTTAAGAGTTTAGAAAGACTAACTGGTGATTGTTGGGGATTCCTTTCCATATCTCCAGATTTAAATTGATTTTCATTATTATCTGTCAGAAAACATTATGGAAAGGACTCAAAATAAAACATGTCAAAATCTTCTTGTGTGCCTCGAGTGCAGGGGGCTCAAAACAGCAGAAGAAATCCTCCTCCTCCTCCTCCTCCTCCTCCTCCTCCTCCTCCTCCTCCTCCTCCTCCTCCTCCTCCTCCTCCTCCTCCTCCTCCTCCTCTTCCTCTTCCTCCTCCTCCTCCTCCTCCTTCATCCCTGCAGCAGCTCCTGGAGGTCTCGGTCCGCCCCCCCCATGCTCAGCTGCTCCAGGCTGACGTAGCGGTGCACGATGGCCTCGTCGGTCACCAGCACCACCCGCAGGCCGTGTGCGTCGTCTCCCAGCTGGCAGCCGATCGCTGAGCTCACCACCATGTCCAGCCCGTCGTGCAGACCCCCCGCGTTACGGTGGTAATGACCCGAAAACACCGCCTTCACCCCTGGGGGAGGAACACAAGCAATCAATGGGGGAACATAGAAAGTAAATGTCGTAGATCCGATGTAGCACTCACATTAAAGAATAAGACAAAGAGGAATCAATAAAACACAGACACAGAGATGGCTGAAGGTTCAAGTTCAAGGTTCAAGTTCAAGGCTTGTATTGGCCATGCGTACATAGCTACAGTGTAGTTATGACGATGAAAATCTTAGGTCACAGGCTCTTCCAACAGTGCAACACAATAACACTGAAAAAATAGTGCAAGTAAATACAAAAAGAAAAATAGTACAATAGTGGAATAGTGCAATAAGATTAGATTAGATAAATGATTTCTAAATTGCAGCCAGATTAATGTTTGTGGATGTCGTTTCAAAGGTTCAGGTGTTTAACAGTCTTATGGCCACATATTATATGGCTGTGCAGCATTATAAGAGGCACATTACCTTTCATCAAAGCAGTCTATATGTCCCTTCAGTGTAAGAGAATCTCAGAGCTTATATGCTGCTCAAAACGGCGTACTACGTAGTTGACCTCCCACTGACCTCATGTTACATCTTCTGTCCCCCCAGACGTTAAATAATCCCAGGTTCCATGTGACCCTTTTCTGCTGATACCTCACATGCCAATGGAGCCAACTATTGGCTACAGAAAAAGGTATACCTCTTTTTGGAAACTAAATGAGTAACCCACTAGCTATGGCTTGAAACACACATTTACAATCGTTTTTTTACTGGTCTGATCTGTGACTGGGATGTGACGAGGGATAGGCATTATTTTCTCTAGAGAGCCAGGTCACTCACGTCCGACCCCTATATGAACTGCAACCATCGAATCGGAGATACAGGGTCCCTCGATCCAATAAGGTCAGACAGAAGCATCCTTTGTGTTCCAGTCAATCCTCACAGTAAATACAGAGCTGATCCCAGATCAAATGCACGCTGAAGGCTCTTTCTCTCAGTGATTGTGCTGTTATGTTAAATGTTTGTTTTTCATGTATTGTGTCTTGATATTTGTCTGTTGATATCACACATGGAGCTGCTGGGATGCAAGTCACATTTCAGACTTGATCTGACCATTAAAGTGTTATCGTATCCTATCGTATATCAACAGTATGTTCCAGTTAGAAGCTTTGTGATGTTATATAGTCATGTAGAATCATGGGAGATAAACTCCCTCTGGAGGGAACACAGGGATTTTAGCCTCTGCAGACCATTTACATGCATTAAAAGCAAAAGAAAACAATACAGCAAAGGGATACCCTAAAGAGCATCATAGGGCCTCTTAATGTAAAACATGTGAGCACTGATTGTATTAAAACAAAGAAAATACTTTCCTTATGAAAACAAACAACTTTAAAGTTAATTTCAATCTTACCCAAACTAAAATTCAAGACTAAATATGTTCCTGACTCCAAACACAAACATGTTGTTTTCCCCTCGTTCGAGTGCAAATTGGACCGAAATTACACCAACTTGCCAAAGACTTGGTTCTCCGGAAACTCTCCCAGTAAAGTGCCACCTTCACTCTCAGCAACTTCTTCTCTCTATTCAACGTAAGGCTTTTCAGAGAGCACCATTTCCACTGTAGTGAAACAGCCTGGAGCCAAACCCTCACCGTTACATTAATGATATAATCTGGGTAATTGAAAATAAATTCAACATCGTTAATGAAAGTTCGCCAGGTTTGAAAATATGCTACAAGTGGAAATCTCCAGAGGACGTTCTTTACTTACTTAGCGTTATTCTGTCTTACTCTCATCTGTTTCCTTTCAAGGTCATCTTTCCTTTCCTTTTTCCTCCCTACCTTATGTCCTTTTCTCTATTGAATATACTTTGGATGTCAAGCATAAAGTGTCAAGTCAGGAGATTATAAAGAACACATTTAAAATTCTAAATAGCATGAAAAAAGCTTAAAACAATCTTCGCAGAATTATATTAAAGAGGCCCTATAATGCTTTGTGGGGTTTTCCCTTTCCTGGTTCAAGTACAAATATTAACCTGAAAACCGTAGAATAAAAAAAGTGCCACATTTGTAGAAGAGTAAAAGTAAAAAACAGCTTAGTGCTCAATTAATGTACCTCAGATTTGTACTGAAGTACAGTACTTGTACTTAGTTACTCTTCACAGCTGGAGAAACTACCTGTGTGTGCTTGCATGTTCAAATGTCCATTCAGAATGAGTGTACTGCTGTGATCTGCTGTGTTTTCTAACGGCGAGCGTTTCCACGGAGGAAAGTCTGGCTGCTCGACTCCAGAGAGAGACATCCAGCCGAAAGAAAGAAACGAAAGAGGAGGAATTTCAGTCTGAGCACGAGAGAGACATCGGTCTGTCCCAGAAATCTGCACAACAAAGAAGAGGAAGATCCCCTCTGAAACCCCCCGCCCGGATACTACTTTGGATGTCGACACCGTGAAATTGCACTGAATCATCAAGTTCTCCGGCCTGCATAATCCAACAGCGCCAGAATACAAATGTGACCTAAATATATATTAATATTCAGAGCTATGCGAGGACAGCGGTCGGACCATTAAATAATGAATCTGCCAAAGATGGGAATTGATGGTTTTGGCCGGTACGTGTGTACGTCTGGGATAAATTAATTCACAATCAGGACCCCTCGTGATGGGTGGGTGGGCCTGCAGCTATATCACCACTTCTTCCAGAGTGTGTTTTGTGCATATGTGCGAGCAGGAATAATGGCCCTTCATGTAACCTTGCCTCAGCAGCAGGTGGCTGAATAACTGGCCCAACGCTGTCTGGTCACACATGGCTGAACACGTGTGTCCTTGATGATATTTCTAGATGAAATGCCTCCAGGCCAAAGCATGAACTCATTCAGGTGCGTCTGGAAAGGTGGAGCAAACACATCCCCGTTACTCAAATAAAACCAGTAGAGTTTTAGCTGGCCAACTTTCTGAAAAATAAGCTTTCATAGAATAGAATAGAATTGGGAGGGATGAAACCCTCTGCTTTAAGAGAGCACACAGCACACACAGTGGCATTTGTTCTCTGCTGTTAACCCATCCTAGTACCAGGAGTCTAGTACTAGGAGCAGTGGGCAGCTAGTGTACAGAGCCTGGGGAGCAATGGGAGTGGGGGGGGAGGGGGATGTCTGGTGCCTTGCTCAATGCCACTGCCGGATCATACAGTCGCTGCGATCAGGTGGTTTTATAAAAGCACCCTATCTCAAAGATCATATTGCTATGTCTTGTAACGGGTTAGACCTTATTTTTAATGAGTGGGGTGCCAGTCAGAAACAAGCCTGACAAATAATAATCAAAAATAGTTAAGTCAAACCATACACAAAGTCATTCAATAATCCAGCACATAAACATGGAACCACTGGTCTAGATAACAGTCGACTCCTTATATATTCTTTGATTCTTCTCAAATGTTATTAAGGAACATAAATTAGTATTTCAAAATGACATGAAATGCTGTCAGTTTATTGATTGTATTTGTGAGATGTAGGACATGGTTAATTCAGGGTGATGTTGGAATGCAGGAGATGTTCTTTACGTACTTATTATCATGTGTTTATGTAAAGGAGCTCTTGAATGAAGTCAAAACTACTACATAACTTAAAGTGGACCTATTATGCTATATTGGAAACATATATTGTAGGGCCATACCTATTCAAAACATGTCTGTGAAGTGTTTTGCTTAAGATACCAAACCGATCACCCGTTGTAGCCATGCCTCATTCTGCTCAAACAACTCTTTTGCAGCCCTGTTAGAGAAACGCGGATTTTGGGTCCTTAGCTTAAAAAAAAAGAGGAGGCGGAGCTAATGCCTGATCAGAATTCTACCGGAGATAAAGTTAAATTCTGCTGTGATAAAACGCCATCCTGTTCTAAACCACATCAAGGATTATTTCTGAAACAGTATGGAGCTCAAATGCTTTTTCTCTTGCGGGTTTATCACAAGGTTAGTTCTTTTTTTTAATTTCCTGCTTTTTAAAAACACGTGCTCTCCAGTACAGGTTAGCTCTGAGTGTTAGCGAGGCTTGCTAATGTAAACAAAGACGAGCATTGTTTCTGATGGCAACTTTCTGTGGGTCCGCCGCCGATTTGACGTCAGATCAGCAGCAAATCTGTATCCGCTCGTTGTACCCCCGTTTTTAAAATATGTGGGTACGGAGGAAAAGAGAAAGGGTTTTATTTTCTGACGCTGCGTGAGTTCACACAGGTTTATTATTCAGGTTAATCCTGTGGAAGACTTCTCGCCATCTGTCCACTTTTAAAAATGTGTTTTAAATCCTAATTTCTTTATTCTCTAGTCTTTTATAGTCGCTCACCTGTTTGGAAACAAAGCTAGACTACAAATGCTTTTTATCTGTCCTACGAGGATTCAAACATCTCATCTTCAATTACCCAAACCCTGTGAATAAAGACAAACAGCCGTGTGAAGCAGAGGAGGATGTTTGATGGGATAACCCGATGACTCAGATTGAGATGCTGATTGTAGAAACGTTGGATTGTTCCCACATGAGGGCTGTGACCCTTTCTTCACCTCAGAGAGATGAGGAAGTGGGAGGAAGATAGCAATAGTAAAGAACAGATCGGCAGGAATTAATCCTGAAATAATAATAATGACGAATCAACCGGCGGGGAAAAAAAAGTATTTTTGAAGCTTTTTTTTTCTGAACCTCGTCTAAAACTCCCCAAGAAGCAACGATTAATCATGCCGCAGAATAGAGTGTGTGGGAGTGTGTAAGTGTTCATATGTATACATGTTCCCCCCCCATGTCTCTGATTGTACACACACACACACACACACACACACACACACACACACACACACACACACACACACACACACACACACACACACACACACACACACACGTATGTGACGCATCAATGAAGCTGTGTATTCGTTGGTAATTGTTTTAAACATGAAATGACTCATTAAGGCCCGACTGTGCAGGACTTTGTCGAACTACTACAGAAGGTACTGTTGGATATTAAAGGGATAGTTCAAACATTTAGACACCTTCATT